TTCTCCCTCTCCCACTCCCCCTGCTTGTGTTCCCTCTCTTGCTGTGTCTCTCTCTCTGTCAAATAAATAAATAAAATCTTTAAAAAAAAAAAAAAATCTCCCCAAACAAAGATATTTCCTTTTCTGACCAGCCCTGGTACCTGGACGTTGAACTTTGAGTTCTTGTATCATCAAAGCAGCCAATAAACATGAATTTTCTATTTTGATCCAGGAATGGAGGCTACTCTGATGATTAAGATGCAGTCCCTAGTCATAGAGAGGGTCATAATATAGCAAGAGAGAGGAAATGTCAATCAATAGTTGTGATACAGTGTGATGAGTGTTACAGCATATAAGGGTGGCATGAGAATACCAAGAAAGAAGCTATTAATTGCCTGGTATTTGAGTAATATTAAAGAAGGCTGCCCAGAGAAGGGAACATTTTATCTTATCCCTGAAAGGTGAGGAATCTCAGCATAGTTTAGTGTTGTTCCACTAGCAGCCATTAGGACCCACTCAGAGACTTGAGGCCCAAATGAGCCCAAGGATGGCACCCCAAACCATGGCTGGCGATGTTGGCTATGGTATTGTCCAACCTGAGGTATAGAAGACTCAGGCCAGGCACACTAGCTGTCCTCTGATGTGCAATGGTGGTCATCAAATAGAAGATGGAATCCACTGATTGCATATGACTGATTGAGAGCAGGCTAAGAACCATGTGTGGAATTTAGATAGAACAAATATCAAGCTTCCAAACATGAAGAATGTTATAAAAATGGAAGGGGTTCAAAAAAAAATGACATGTTTCCCAAGGCAGTGGATTTCTCATCATTTGAGACATTCCAGAAAAGCTGGGATACAGAGATTTCATTATAAATGTTGGGTGAACCTAGAAGACCTGCTCAGAACAGAAGCACCATTCTCTCACTGAGAAAGAAGTAGCTAGAAGAATTCTGGAAATATTGGGCCACTGCTGGGCATCCCAAGGCCAGAGGGCACTAAGTAACTGAAGAAAGGTTGTTGTTGGAGCGAAGATGGGAGATAAGAAGAAATAAAGACCGAGTTCCATGAAGGACCATGAGTGTTCCTCATCCATTGGGTTCTACCATCTGGAAGGAAGCTTGGAACATGATTCATTCCAACAACACGAGGGTCTGTAACTACTTTGGGCCAGACAGGATGAATTTCTTTTTTTTTTCTTTTTTTCTCTTTTTTATTTTTAAAGATTTTATTTATTTATTTGAGACAGAGAGAATGAGAGAGACAGAGAGCACATGAGAGGGGGTAGGGTCAGAGGGAGAAGCAGGC